AACAAAGCTCTGACCAGTGATATGACCAAGGCCAAGGAGAGGATAGCCGAGTTAGAGGCGAGCATTGTCTTTGAACATGAGGAGGGTTTCAACAAAGCCCTCCGGCAGGCGTCCCTCATGGCCGGCATACAGGAGTCGCTCGCCTTGGGTTTTGATATCGAGAAGGACGTTTTCGATGGCGTCCTTATTGACCTCAACTCCATGGTTGACGACGAGGAGCCGGGGATTGAAGGGCCCTCTGGAGCCGCGGGAGCCGCCGAGGCGGTGGAGGTTGAAGCTGATGAAGAAGAGGACGGCGGTGATAATTAGGATTTTTTTTTCTTTATACTGATTTTTTGTTATATGTATTGTTATGGCCGCCCGTCCAACATCTTGGGTTGTCGAGATGTTGGCCAGGCCGTCCTTTTGTAAATGCTGGCATGCTTTGGTGCCTTTGCTGATGAATACATAACTTCATTTGTTTAGCTCCTTTTTAATTTCCACAATGTATTTGTTTTCGTTTCTTGCTCCACGTATTCATCGTCCAGGGGTAAACCCTTTCTTTAACAGCCTTAGGCTTTTTTAAGGCGCAGACGGCAATGGTTCTTCGGGAAGAATTCTCCGTTAACCGTCCATCCAAATTGACAGTGGTTTCCGGGGGAACTCTCCGTTCATCAACTTGGACTTTTAAGGCGCGGACGACAGTGGTTCTTCGGAAAGAACTCTCCGCTCACCGTCCGACCAAGTTGACAATGGTTCCCGGGGGAACTCTCCGTTCATCAACTTGTACTTGCGTCATGTTTAACGATACTAGGGATGAGAGAAGGCGGATGTCCTGTCATTTGAATTAATCATTGAAAATAATAATACAAGTTTTGAAGAATAATTCAACTGAAATAAAACTTCAAATGCGTGGCGTTCCAAGTGTTTGGAATTGGCCGTGCGTCCGAGTGTTGCAGCCTGTACGCCCCATTTCCTAGTGCTTCAACCACCCGGAACGGTCCTTCCCATTTTGCTGCCAGTTTTCCGTGTGTAGTAACTCGACGAGCCTCTCCAACCTTCCTCCATACCAGATCTCCCTCCTGAAAGCTCCTTGGTCGTACCTTGGAGTTGTACTTTCTTTCCACCATGCACTTGCATGCTTCGGCTCTTAAGGCCGCCCGATCTCGGCGCATGTCTAGAGAATCTAGCTCGATTCTTAGCTCTTGGTCGTTCAACTGTAAGTCTTCGACCTGTCGGCGCAACGATGGCTCCCCCAACTCGACTAGTAACATGGCGTCAGTGCCATACGTCAGGTTAAAGGGAGTTTCTTCGGTCGTCCCATGAGGTGTGCATCGGTAAACCCAAAGCACTTCAGGTAGCTCGTCAACCCACGCTCCCTTTCTTTCCCCCAACCGCCGCTTCAATTCGGCGACCACGGTTTTGTTCATCGCTTCCACTTGACCGTTAGTCTGGGGATGTTCTACAAAGCATGTGACGTGTTTAATCCCCAAACCTTTAAAGAACTCGGCCAGCTTCTTATCGATGAATTGGCGGCCGTTATCCGTGATTATGGTCTGAGGGAGGCCGAAACGACATACCAACCTCTAGCAGAATTTCTGGACCTGGGCGACTATTATGGTTGCTAAGGGTTCAGCCTCCATCCACTTGGTGAAGTAGTCCACGACTACCAAGAGGAACTTCTTCTGGGTCTGGCCTATGGGGAACGGTCCCACGATGTCCATTCCCCATTGGGCGAACGACCACGGCAACACGATCGTATGCAAAGTGTGAGGGTGTAGGTGAGTGTTATTGGTGTGTGCTTGGCAACTAAGGCATCTTTGGACGAACGTCTTCGTGTCTGCTTCCATGGTCGGCCAGTAGTACCCTGCTCTCGTCACTCGGGCATTTAGAGCCCTCTATCCAGTGTGAAAACCACAGATGCCATTGTGGAGTTCGTCCATCACATAACGCGCTTCTTCCTTCCTTAAGCACTTAAGAAGGGGGGTGGAGAACCCTCTCCTGTATAAGTTGTCCCCCACCAGTAGGTAGCGTGGGATCCTCTTTGCTTCGCTCGGTTTGACAGGGCGTCCGTCATCCTGCCGAGACATTATCTCTCTAATTTCAGATCGCTAGCCTTCCTCCTCGCTTGAAATTGCTAGACACTTGATTGAGGGTTGAAGCAGCACTTGACGTACGATAGTCGTTAACTGTCCCTTTTCTTTGCTAGAGCTGAGCTTGGACAACATATCCGCCTGGGTGTTCTCTTCCCTCGGGATGTGCTGGATGTCGGCCTTGTCTAACGATCTCGCCAACTCTGTTGCACGATGGAAGTATCGCAGCAACTGCTCTTCTTTCACCTGGAAGTCACCGTTCATCTGGCCGACGACTAGCTGGGAATCCGTCCGACAAGTGATCTTTCTTGCTCCCATGTCTCTCGCCAACTCCAGACCGGCGACCAGAGCTTCGTATTCAACCTGATTGTTAGAGACCTTGAACTTGAATATTAAGGAATGCTCCAACAGGAAACCGTTGGGACCCTCCAACACTACTCCGGCACCGCTGATCGATCTACCGGACGCCCCATCCACGTACAAACTCCACTCGTCTTGGTTGGTGGGAGGTAACTCGGCCGCGAAGTCAGCTAGGTGCTGGCCCTTGACCGACCCTCTCGGTTCGTATCGCAAGCCGAACTCTGACAATTCTATTGCCCAGGACACCATGCGCCCCGCCAGGTTTGGCTTCCTAAGGATTTTGGAGATGGGGAAATCAGTTCTGACGACCACCTGGTGGCTTTGGAAATATGGCCGGAGCCATCTTGACGCGTTCAGCAAGGCAAGCGCTACTTTTTCCACTTGCTGATAGCGAGTTTCCGCATCAAGAGAGTGCGACAGACAAAGTACACCAGCCTCGGTTGGGGTCGTTCCTACGTTAACACGGCGTTGATGGCCGACTCCGACACGCCCAGGAAGACATGTAGGTCTTCTCCCGGCACCGGGCGGTTCATCACGGGCGGCTGATCGCACTCGCTGTCCCATATGGAGCCGGCTCCCTTCTTCATCTTTCGTAGGACGGGTTTGACTCTTTTGGCCAATTTTGGGATGAACCGCGATAACGCTGTGAGCCGATCGACGAGCCTTTGAACCTCTTTGAGGGTGGCTGGGCTTTGCATCTGCAATACTGCCTCACACTTGTCGGGATTAGTCTCAATCCCTCTGGACGTGAGCATGAAGCCCAGGAATTTTCCGCATGCTACTCCGAATGTGCATTTAGCTGGGTTCAGGCGCATCCCGAACATCTTAACTTGGCGAAAACCTTCCTCCAAGTCCCTCATGTGGCCAACACCGTCCGCCGAACGGACGACCATGTCGTCCACGTACACGTCCATGCATCTGCTGATTTGTTCTCTGAAGATCCGGTCCATCAATCGCTGATAGGTGGCCCCGACGTTCTTCAGACAGAAGGGCATCACCTTGTAACAGAAGTTTGCCCTCTCAGTGATGAATGTCGTCTTCTCCCGGTCAGGTTCGTACATTGGTATCTGATTATACCCGAAATAAGCGTCTAGGAAGCTCAACATCCGATGCCCAGAGGCACCGTCCACCAATGCGTCTATGCTCGGCAGGGGGTGAGAGTCTTTTGGGTAGGCCTTGTTCAAATTGGTGTAGTCCGTGCACATGCGCCACTTCCCGCTTGTCTTTTTTACCATTACCACGTTGGCTAACCAAGTGGTGTAGGTGACCTCTCTAACAAAGCATGCCTCCTTCAGCTTTCCCACCTCTTCCTCGACAGCTTTCCTGTTCTCCTCGCTCATCCTCCGCTTCTTCTGTGCCACCAGACGGGCCTCCTTGAACAGTGCCAACTTATGGGACATGACCGAGGGGTGAATCCCCGGCATGTCGGCCGCCGTCCATGCGAACAGATCCTTGTTCTTCCACAGGAGCGACCTAAGTTCTTTCTCCACGCCGGGCTCCAATCCCCTTGCCATGGTAGTTGTCTGGGAGGGATCCTTCCCTATTAGGATTGGTTGGGTCTCTCCCATAGGTTCTAGCCGGTCTTCTGTGTTCGTCCTTGGGTCGAGGTCGGCCATGGTCACTTTAGAGCCGGTCGCCCTCCTCTTCCCTTGTCGGGTGTACAGCTTCAGACCGGCGGCATAACATTCCCGGACCGTCTTCTGATATGCTCGGACAATGCATATGGTTCCCTTCTCGGAGGGATACTTCATTGTGAGGTGGAGTGTGGACACGATTGCCCCAAAAGCGTTCAGGCATGGTCGGCCAAGCAACACATTGTATGAAGTGTTAGCTTCCACCAGCAGGTACCAGATCCTTTTCTCCTTGTTGGACCGCCCGATCCCCAACCTTGTCCTTAACTCCACGTAACCCCGGGTGTATACTTTCTCCCCCGCGAAGCGTACTCTTTGGCCGTTGTAGGGGATGATGAGATCCTCAGATATATCCATCTGTTGGAAAGTTTTCCAGTAGAGGATATTTACTGAACTCCCCTGATCCACCAAGACCTTGCTGACGCCGTAGCGGGCGATCTCAGCTGTTATCATCATCGGATCATCCTGGTCGGGATCGGGCGCGTGGAAGTCTTCATCCAAGAATGTAATGGGCGACATCGTGCGATGAGGTTTGTCCACCGAATGATTGGACTGTAGAGCCCGAACATGTCGTTTTCGCGCGGACGAAGACGATCCTCCTCCTGCTCCGTCGCCTCTCCGAGCGTGGGCGTTCGGCCCGATCGTTTCTAGACCTGTCTGGTCTGTAAGCTTGCCGGGGGGTGGATAGTTCCACGAGTGTCGGGGGACGGTCAACTCAAATGTACTTTTTGAGTTGCCCCGCCCAGATCAACTCTTCAATTTTGTCCTTCAGGGTCACACACTCCTCGGTGGTGTGACCCATATTCTTGTGATAGGCGCATTGTTTTCTCCCGTCTGCTCCTGATGGAGTAGGTCGCTTCACAGGTTCAAGAAGTAAATTTGCGCTTAGTGCCTCCTGGAGGATCCTCTCCCTGGTGGCGTTCAAGGGAGTATATTGCTAAAAACGTGGTTCTCGCCTTGGTTCCTTCTGCCTGTGGCCGCCTGGTTTTCCTGTCGAACTGCCGGGCTTTTCCCCGTCCGCCCTCTCCCCCCTAAGCTCCTGGTTCTCCTTCTTATAGGACAATTTCATCTCTTCTACCCTAATCTCGTCCGCCGCACGCTCCCTTAACTCTTCCATAGTTTTCGGAGGCCGTCGGCAGACACTATCTTTAAACGGTCCGGGCTTGAGCGCCGGGAGGATGTAGTGGAGGGCGAGCTCCGGGCTTAATGCCTTCACTCGTCGGACGGTCTTCTGGTATCGGTCCATAAACGCTCTCAATGTTTCTTCCTTACCCTGCTTCAGGGTGACCAACTCGAACACGGTCAGGTCCTGCGTGCTGTTGGCCGCAAACTGCCGATTAAACAGTCGTTTTAGGCCGGTGAAATTCTCTATGAAATTGGGGGGTAGAGAGGTAAACCATTCCAGTGCTTCGTCTTCTAAAGACAACGAAAACGCCCGACACCAGATAGCGTCGTTGCCTGTTCTGAATGCCATTGTGTTTGAAAATGTTTTGATGTGGGCCTCGGGATCCGTGGTCCCGTCATTCATCTTGAATTGCGGCGCAATGAACTGTTCCGAAATCTGAACATCCATTATGTTTTGGGCGAAAGGAAGCAATAGTGTGGATGAAGGCTCCGGCTTCACCACCATCCGCCTATCCTCGGCGGCGCTCTCCACGTGAACTGATTTGGCCTTGTTCCCTTCGGCCTCGGACTCCGTCGGCCTCCAAGTTATGTCGTGTTCGCTGTTGTGTTCCATGTGATCCTCGACGGCGGCCTTTCCTTTCTCCTTTGCCCGCTCTTCCTCCCCTTCCTTTCCAGCGAGCTCCCGGTCTATCCAGGCCTCACAATCGGCCTTAACCGCCGCCAGCTCGTCCTCGTGACGCTGTTGCATCTCGTCCATCTTTTGTTGCAAAACTCTGATCATATCAATCAGGTCGTCCATGCTCATGTTTCTCGTGGTCACCATTGGGTTTTTAAAACTACACGGCCCCACGGTGGGCGCCAAATGTTTCGGATGTGAAAGGCTGTGTCGTCCAATGTATCCACGTTCTCCTCTGCTCGTACTTCGTGTGTCCGGTCCTCCGTACTCGCTCCTTAATTTGCTCCTCAGCGCGCGGGTGGGAGACCTGTGAAAGATTCTCCGATGCCAAAGTCAGTTGAGAGCAATGGCGCTTTTCTATCGAACAGTAATAAATGTGCAGTAAATGCAACATATCTACCACTCACCCTAGATTTGTATTTATAGTTTTCGCTATGGGCTTGGGATTAGTGAAAAGTTATTCACGGCCCAAATTCAGCCCAATAGCTTTTAACCTCAACTTACCTTAAACCTGGTTAATTAGCAGTATGGCCGGCCGGTCTCTCAAAGTTTGGCTTTTGAGCTAGCCAAACCCTATAGGCAGCATGGTTAGCAGGCAGTATGACCGGCCGACCTCATTGTTTATCCGGATGACGAGGGCAAGTTTGCGTGATCGCGGACGCACTAGCGTCCGACTTGGTGCGCCGAACCTTCGATAATAAACCAAAGAATAGCGTGTTTGGTCTACTGTGGACGTCCGGCCTATCTGATGTGCAGTCCTTACTGGTACAATGCCAAAGTCCAAAGATCGTGTTTGTATAGAATCGGATAGAGAGGACACCGATGGAAAGCTGATGGAAAATATTGCGGCTCACGAGGACATGCAAGGCGTGCCTGCGGATAGGATCGCGTTGCAGTTGCATTCAAGCCATTCAGTCTTCCACCTTTTCATGTCAGAAATTAGCAAATCCAAATATAGATTCCGTTAAAAATGATAATGTGAAAATTAAAATCGATGAGAAAAATCAAAATTAATCTTCTAATATTACAGACCAAGGAAAAAGAAAAGAGGAGATAACTAACACTGAATTATAATCCAATGCTTGAATTTAAGAAGAAAACCCATTACCTCTGAATCTCAATATTACAGCCTAGAATATATAACTTTCTGAAACGTTTAGATAGAGAGAAACCCATCAATGAATTATCAAAAAATAAATAAAAAAAATCCAAAGCTACCGATAAACATGTACCCAGTACTCACAGCGTTGTGAACATACCCAGATGAAAAAGAGAAAACACTGAAAGTACCCAAATGAATTCAAATACTTATTGATACTTCGAACTCCGTCACATATCAGAAAAGTGATCATAGAAAATTGTGTTTTTAATATTATAGCACATGCAACCCCGAATACAAAGGATCCCACAGGCGTGATTGAAAAACAGAGTTATGATCAGTATTGGAGATATAGGCTTACCTGATTGAATAGAGTTATGACAATTAATTTTATAGAAGAAAAATGGTAGAAGATAAGCTACTGTCGTTTTGTGAGGAATTTTATTTAATAAGGAGGGTTACCCTTTCATAATTATTTTCTCTCTCACTTTTTGTTTGGTATCACAAAAGGGAGAGGAAAAGATAGCACTGACAACACAGTAGAATTTATGCGTATTTAATGGAAGGGACAACGTTGACATAAAATTTACTAAGTGAGGACCAATTTCACACATTTTTAAAACAAGAGACTGTCAGAGCGGCTGCAACAGAATGGTTAGCGTGGAATAACAAACCAAGAGGGTTTTTAATACGAACATGTGCCTTTTAATTTCTACTCAATAAACTTACCAGACAAATAAAAATAACAAATAAAGAGAATAAGGTTGAGAGAAATTTGCATAGATGATTTTATCCTGGTTCGGATCTTACCAATCCTACATCCAGTCGCTTATCTCAAATTAAGATAAACAGTTCATTACTCACAAAACAATTACATATTACAATCACAAAGAAACAATTTGTAAAAGTTTAGAAACCACCTCTCTTGTTATCCCAAGAGATGAAATTCACTTCCCTTATAACCCAGTAGGGATGAACACCTTCTCCGAATGCTTCAAGAAGGATGATAGGCTTTTAACTCAGCAACATCAACAACACTCAATCACACTCCCCGTGAAAGTTTTCGCTCTATGCCAACACACCAAGTTCTCAAAGCCACAGCACAAGAGTTCAACAAACCCTAGAACACTTATCACCACATACTGTAGATAAGATTTTCCGAAATACACTTATCCGTTGTCAAGTAATTAATGTGTGATAATCAATTATCCAATTATGATAATTAATTATGCATTTAATGAATGCACAACGGTAAAAAAAACTTGCTTAAAAAAATTCTCATAATGCTCATTATAATCAATTATGACAAGTCATAATTGATTACCGATAATCAATTATTATAAATTGGTAATCAATTATCTTGAGTATAAAATGAGGTTTTCTGATTTAAAATAAATTTTAACACAACCTAAGACAAACAATACATAGAATCAATTAGAAACCACATCCTATACATAAATCTGCTTTATGCTAAGAGAGACTAAATTAACATTATTCAGCAAAACTTAAAAAAAAAAAAAAGCTATTAAACCTGCTGAAGAAATATTTTGTATGACTCAACTTAATGCATGAATATAGATGAAGCATAACCTAAACAATGTAACAGTGACATACTCTGCCAGTACCTCTATCTTCTCCAAAACCTAAAATCAATGTAAACCTTTCAATAACTTGAAGACATTATGGTAGAAAGGTCGAGATTGGATATGAAAATCATATACTGAAAAACTTGTTTTGTTTGGACCTGTCAAAGTTTTATGCAAGATTATATTCTCAACAATTGCAAGCAGCATATTAGCAAGCATAACAAAAGCAACTAGTGCAAGGATTCATGACTATACAAAGAAATTCACATACCAAGATACAAGGAATAACCAACATGACGTGTAATAAATTTAAATATAATAATCAATAAAACATATTACTATACATATTAAGCTTGATCATGAAATAAAATTTAAATTTATAAACTTATAAACATTTAGTAACATGTAATATAAACAGCACTATACAAGAAAGCGTCACACTAATTATGCAAAATGGACTTATTATTAGGGCTGCGACACTAATTAATGTGCTGTTCTTCCAAATGGCCATGTTTCTTTAAGTGATTAAATATTCAATTCTCATGATTATATGATATATAAGTTAAATAAAGAAAGGCTAACGCCTTAGATAGATTCTATATTTGAATAGATTAGTGTCTCTCTTTCATTCCTAAAAAGAACAAAAAGAAAGAAAAGAGAAAGAGTATCCATTCTGGTTAAAATTTACCCTTTAAATCTACGGACCCTACATATATCCAAATTTGGCAATCAAGATCTGAGAAAACAATGCAAACGCCTTACCTAGTTGCCATACAACACTCGTTTCAGACACACACGAAACTAAATTAATTTATTAATAATTATTATATAAATAAATAAAAATAAATTTTGAGGCTTTTCAAAGTTGAAGCTGGTAGGGATGAAGCCAGGGGTTGAGTTGAGAAACAAAGTAAAACATAAACTAAAAAAGCCTTAGCAAGCATCAGGGTTGTGTTGTGTTGTGTGAGTGAGGGTCCTCTCAACTAACATCCCAAGACTTATGTTTTTTTTTTTTTTTTTCTTTTTTTAACTTTTGTTTCTTCAATTATTATCTGCTCCAATTAATTTTCCCCCTTTTTCACACTCTGTTTGTTACGGATTGAACTTTGAAGAGTGACCTCAGAGAAGAGTCTAGAAGGTCTTGTAAGCATTCTACTTCATCCCAGCCAACATCACAGTGAATCACATCGCAGACAGAGAGATGGGGAGAGGAAGGTGCTTTTTGGACATCGGCATAGGGGAAGAGCTTGAAGGAAGGATAGTGGTCGAGCTTTACGATGATGTTACTCCCAAAACTGCTGAGAACTTCAGAGCTCTCTGCACTGGTGAGAAAGGCATTGGTCCAAATACAGGGGTGCCCCTTCATTTCAAGGTCTTTTTTTTTTTTTTTTTAAATCTTTCTACCTTTCATTTCTCACTTTATCCATATACCCTTCTTCTATGTCTATTCAATTCTCCCTTTTCATCTCTCAAAGATTGCTTTTTTACTCTTGTTTGTCAAATGGTTTATGCCCCGCTTCATGAATTCTTCTGTGTGAATCCTATATGCTATTTGAATGAAATAAATATATCTTTTTTGCCATTAGAGTGTAACGGGGGCGTTCAAAACTTGATATTTCGATTTAGAGCATTGGTTGGATGTCTTGTTGCTCCCTTTTCATCACCGTATCTTGATGTTTTTAGAATTTTAGCTGCTCTAAGATCTGAACTTTGTAGTATTCCAAGGGTTGAATTTGACGGTGCTTTTTATTTCATCACTTTTGGACGAAGAGTTTTGAAAAGACTGTTATGTCCTGCAAAAGGATTCTTTTACCTTATTATAGTAGATTCTTCGATTGTACATACCTTATTATAGTCATTCAATTTTTACTTCCTGCAAAAGGATTCTTTTACTTGTATCAATGTTGGGGTTGATACTGTTTCTTCTATCTAAAACTTTGTTTTTTCCCGGGGCGAATTGCTTTTGAAATTCCATAAATTATTTGTATTTGAAAATATTCGTCAACTTAGTGTATAGTAATTGGCCATTGATAATACATTATGATCCAGGAGATATGCCAACCTTCCAGTGTTCCAGATTTTGTTTTTAAAATGATATAATAATTAATGTAGAATTTTATCTCACCGATGCAGAAAGGAAAGAAAAAGATTACTGCATATGAACAGATATTGGAAGATTTAATAGTTTTAATTTTAGTAATTCGTGTTATATCGGTCTTGAAGTATAAAAATTGTTTTTTGTTCATCTTGATTAATACTACAGCAGGGAATTCATTATTCCTCTGGTGTCTGTTCTTAGTTCATTGCTCAAGAATATCATGTAAAATGAGCTTAAATTGGGAAGATTTTACTCAAGTATATATTGCCCAGTTGGCTCTGTTGTGCTATGTTTTGATCGGAAGTTCTGAATCTGTTGGCTTTGGTTTCAGCATCAAACGAATCAA